TTTCATATTTTGGTTCTTATATATATATTGCATTCTCAATATATAATATTGCTGAATTTTCTCTGGACAAAACTTTGCACCTTCCAGAAAGAACAAGAAGAGATCATCCAAGCAAGACCTTCCACACAGAAAGGGCTGAACCTTAAGGAAATTAAGCAAATGGAATATCTTTCAAAGGTATATATATATGTATGTATGCGTGACTGATAATAAGTTTTTGATGGCTTGCAATCTAAATTCATGAGGGTCTGAACCATTAATAAAGAAAACAATATGAAAATGGAACTGCTTAAAAAATCTGTGTTTGACAATAGGTTATCGATGAGATGCTGCGAAAAACAAGTATCTCGTTTGTGAACTTTAGACAGGCAAAGATCGATCTCAACATCAATGGTTAGTCATTCAATCAATCCCATATATTTTCAGTGCTGCTTATAACATTTGGAATTCTTAGTTCATTGATGCCTTAAGAAAAATGAAAAATTGCAGGTTATACTATACCAAAAGGATGGAAAGTTCTAGTTTGGAACCGAGGGGTGCACATGGACCCTGAAACTTACTACAACCCAAAGGAATTCGATCCTTCCAGATGGGAAGTATGTGTGATAGTAATTATTTTTGTAAAATTTTGTATCACTTATTCCTTAACGTGAATGTTTAATTTGATGAACAAAAGATGTAATATGTTATGTTTGTTAAAATGACAACATGCAGAATCACACAGCAAGAGCAGGTTCTTTTCTTCCGTTTGGATTAGGAAGCAGATTTTGTCCTGGGAGCGACCTGGCCAAACTTGAGATCACCATTTTCCTCCATCATTTTCTTCTTAACTACAGGTTAATAAACTTGCTTCCCTATTGCAACCATTGACTTATTGAAGTGAAGGAGTAGAATGTTGGTGAAAAATGAACAAACAATTAGTTTCACACTATTTGACCATCTAGTAGTGTTTGGTTTTCATAGATTAGTCAAAGGAACCATTGTTTTACGTGTGAAGAAACCATTTAATGACGTAAAAGGAAAGAAGGTCTAACCTATAATATGATATGATAATCTGATTGGTCTTAAACATTTGAATGGTGCAGGATGGAGAGAACTAATCCAGATTCTCCAATCACTTATCTACCACTGCCAAGACCCTCAGATAACTGCCCTGCAAGAATTATAAAAGCCACTTAAATCATGGCATATACATATACATACACACACACACACATATATATTACAAGCTTAAATAATAGGCAGGGAAAAAAATTAATTGTTGCCACATGATAGTTTATTTTTTAATTGAATTTTGATAAGTTGATCCCAATGGTTTGTTGTTCAAAGAAATTCCTATCAAGTTGTGAAACTTCAGAACTGTATAAATTCCTACCAATATCAAGTGTCTTTTTTTCTTATGTTCAGCTATATTTTTTCAAAAAAATATATATTTTTGTATTGGTCTTAATTTTGTAGCAGGATTTAAATTCAGATTACATTTTTTTTCATTGTTTTATACCTGGCCTAAAAGTTGCCCTACTTAGAATATACTACTTCAAAAAAAATCAATTTTAAAGTTTTTACCTGTTTATATTTATCAGTTTGTAATTACATGTGAAAATTTGGGATAATAATTGATATTTTTACTAAAATATTGTTTTTTTCTTAAAAAATAAGTTGATTTCATGAATCTAAAAATTTATAATTTGTGATTTTTTTTCAACAATTTCCCCCTTCACCATACATATTCTTTTTCTAATATTTTTTTAGCATCCAAATAAAATTAATTATCATAAAATTATTTTCGAAAAAATTGTCCATACAAATGTTAATCTTGATTTTAATTGATTACTAAAACAATTTAATTATTACAAATCATTTTAGTAAATGACGTATTGTCTTATCAAATAGAAAGTCATTAAGAGCTTGAAAAAAATTGCTTTATCTCCTTTAAAAAGGAACGACATAAAGACTTGTCGAAACAAATATAGTTAAAATAAAACGTCTAAAAAATTAAATAAATAGATTAATATATACATAGTTTTATATTAATTTGCCTCTAACAAGTTATTATGATTGGTTATATTATCAAGATTTCATTAACACAATTCTTTTGCTAATATTGATTTTTCTAAACTTTTTCATATTTAAATAATATTTTTTATTCACTTCTCCATTAATTAATTTTGTATTGTATTCTTATAGTGTCAGAATTCTAGCGGACACGTCTATTATAATCTTACTACTATGACCCTAATAGCTATAGCAGGCATGCTAGACTTTTTCGTAAGTGATGGTTAGGAACACCTGGAGAAGGCTTTAGCAAGACTCAAACACGATAATACAAGTAAAATATGGAGTCCCAATTAAAAAGTAAACAAATCAATAGTAAAAACTGTTTTATAATACTAACTTGGGCGTTAGAATCTCTTCTCAAGACACAACGAACACACCTCTGATCAAGATACTAGACCACGTCAATTATTGTGCATCAACAACTCAGGAACAAGTTCCGCACAGGATTCGAAAGTGCACCAACGGATATTAATCTTTTCGGAAACTCTCGGTCTTGCAAGACATAGCGGCGGGTGGAGAGTATGAACATCGCTCCATTTATATATATATATATATATATATATATATATATATTATATATATATATATATATCTTTAGTTAGTGATTAGGGAACTTATATTCTGATATACTCACGAATATATCTTATATTGATTAAAAGTAAAGATAAAAATAATTTATATACACCTTCTTCTCTTAATTTATTAAAACATATTTTAATAAAAAAAATCATGATTGATTAGAGTTCCAAAACAAATAATATCTCAAATAAAAATTGATTCTAATAATGTTATTATAATGAACATAAGAGATCCACGGGACAATTTGTCTTATTCAGATATTTACAACCAAGAAGTATTAAATTTTTTTTATATAGACCTTGAAAGGAGAAGGAAGATTAAAATGCCGACAGACATCTATAATTTGAATTTATCTGGCCCAAAAATATAATCCATTTTGGAAACGTGGGATATAAAACTGAGAGGTTATAGTTCATAAATCAAACATTTTTACTTAAAAAAAATTAACTATAGATTATAAAATACAAATATATAAAGAACAATTATGAATAATTAAATAATAAATAAAATATTTTTCTCTACTAAAGTTTTTTTTTTCTTCTCTATTTCTTTCTTCAAATCATAGATATAGTTATTTATTTATTAGTTAGAATCTATTTTAAGTGACTCTCGTACTTACAAATGTACATATTTTTGCTCAGAAAAATATTATTTGACATTTGCTTTGATCAAACAATCAATTGACAACTTTACAAATTGATAAAATAATAATTTTTACATAATTTTTATTTTAATTAAAGCATCTTATTAAGATCAATAAAAAGAGTTATTGAAGTACTTTAAAATGGGGTTGTAGATATATAATAACCCTATTTACTCTTACATTCTTTTTGTTGTTCATTCTTTTTATATAGTTTATACATTAAAACAACATTGTTTGTACAGTGTCAATTAATGAGGAGAAACTAAAAAGTAATCTTAAGCATACTGATCTAAAATCTGACTTTTTTATCGTAAAGTATTTAAATTTAATTTAACAGCCTTAATTGTTATGCATATCACATTATATTTTTAGAGGAATACTTTCAAAGCACTGAAAAAATATTTCAACTTGCTTCAACCAGAATGTTGATGAGCTGTGTTCTTTCAAACGCTGCATTTGTGGCAATTACTTCCTCTATTTCATATTACTTTTCTTTTTAAAGTAATACTTATTTCTTTAAAAGAAATTATTACACAGAATTAAAATAACAAAATAGTTATCGGTAAAAAAAAAACACATTTTTATTGAAGAAATTAGAATGCAGACACAGTGAAGTGTCGGTGACAGAAGAGAATAGCAGGGAAGGAAAAATGAAAAGAAACAGTTCTATTGCATATTAAAAAACTGTTCATAAGACAATAAGATGATAAACACATGAATAACAGTCAGTGCCACATATATAACTGCATGACCCAATTCAAACTTCAATGATTATTATAAATATATAAACAAATATATTTAATGGTTATTAAATTTGTGGACCGTATTAATTTCTATTGATTACATAGTACTTATAAGTAATAGTTCAACTTAGCAACTTCAAACACTACATCCATGATCAATGTTTGGTACTAATCTAAAGAAAATATTACTTAAAAATCAATTATAAATATGGATTAATGAGTTGTAAATTAATCCATTCTATTATATTCTTCTATACTATTGAATTTTAATAAAGAAGAAAACCTTTAGAATATTGATGGTAAGTTATTTTATATAAGATTTGACATAAGTTTTCCTAATTAACCATTGAGTAAACTAACTAGTTTGTTTCCAAACCAAGAATCCCTCACCTATAGGTAATATTAGAAATTCTAAGATATTTAAAAAATTGCTTCATAAATAGGTTTGTTGTTCTATTCCATTCATAGTGATTATAAGATTCACGCCAAGTCAGAAAAGAAAAGAAAAGAAAAGAGTCTATTATAAGATAGTGTTTTTCTTTACAGATTTATAATTTTATGAAAATACAAGATGCAATCTATAATCTCCAGAAATTCTAGAGGCAAGTATTGAACCTTAGCTTCGCTTGCTTCTGAATTACAAAAGATAAAGTATCTTTATGATAATTTGTGCCTTGATATTTTAATTGTTTTTTTGTTGTGTGTTGATCAATGAATTAATGAAAAAAATTCTCAATCTAATTCCTTTATTATTTTTTTGGTGAGAACTATATCAACTTTTGGTATTGCTTCTAAATTTTCTGGTACGCTTGACGGTACCGGATTACAGTAAATACATGTAAGTGAAAGGAACGTCACGTTTTTTTTTTTTTTCCATGGAATAAAAAGGTACTTTGGTCGGAGAAATGTATGGGGAATAAACTAGTTTCCCCTGTCATGCTGAAGAGACACCAGTATTATTAGTTCCTCTGCTATTCTCAATCTTCCAATTGAGAGATGATTCTCGCAAAGACCCGATATCCTTGGGACATATCCGTGAAAAGGCAGTACTCATTCTGAGCATGGTAAGTAGCCATTAGGCCTGGACATAACGTGAAATACAGTAAGGTACTTTAATTACTTTCTAATTCAATATGCATAAAATTGTCATAGGCATGTCATACCGTAGCCAGAAGTTTGAACATCAAAACCTTCTTCCTGAGACACAAAGAGGGGGCTTTAGTATGGCAATGATTATTACAAACGCTTATCTTGAGAAAATGAGTGTTTTTTTCACCTGTAGTTCCCGAATGAGCGGCAAACTCCCAGTAATGGAGTAAGGCTTTACGTACCCAACTACTTCCTCAGTTGCTTTGCATAAAACATGGAAACCTCTAGAATTAAGATCACAGGCAACTCCGGACAGTGCTTCATTAAAAGTTAAAGTAAGGCTGTAAAGAAGAGGAGGGAAGCCTAATCAGTTACAAACAATGTATAGTTAAAGATAATGACCCAATCAAGAGATCGAAGAAAATATAAGTGATTAAAGATTCTAAAGTAAAAAGGCTGCCTATTTGGATTTGAGCGTTAAACCAGAATTTGCTAATTCAGGGAGGAAGACAGGCCTCACCTTCCTCTTATGTTTTCATCGGGTAGGACATATTTTGAAACTGGACCCCTACTTTCTAGCTTCTGAATATTCTCATTAATATCGTCCACGTATTCTTCCAGCTTCTTCATTACATCCTTGACACTGACCAAAGCATTACGCATTGGACATGATATGAATTTTCATAAAATAAGTAAATAACTGAAAACTATCATCATATAAATAAACTAATTTGCAATTACAAGAAGCTAATAAAACAAATAAAGGACAAAATTGAACCCATATAACTTCCATAGAGCTAAAAATTTGACCATACTGTAAGATGTAGCTTACTTGTAGAATGGAGTTAACCTGCAACAAACAAACGAGAGATATCTGTAATGCCATGCCATTCCTAATTGAGTAATTCTAAGGAGGAGAATAGAATAATAAAAAAGGCTTGGTCTCCTCATGACTTCTGTTTATTTTTTCTTTTCATATATTTGATTTTTGATGTGTTTCTAACTTTCTACACATCAAAACCTTTTTACTCAAAATAATAAATTCTAAGGAGGAGAATAAACCTGACATCTCCTGAAATAGTACATTCCCCTGGAATTTGGTTGATTCCACCTCCTGGGTCTGCAGTAAGGATGTAATAATTATGAAATTTGTATATTTTGTTCTTCATAAAAACCAAAGGCAGAACTTACAACTCCATTGGGTTGGTTTCATGGTTGAAGGGGTTGCAAACCCATAAACCTGTTCCTGAGGATGAGGTGGGAAGTCTCGGTAAAATCGCAACTGGATTTCCTTTAGAGCATCCATGCCTAGCTCCATTGCATTTATAGCCTACAGGTAACGAAATGGAAAATAAGTTTTCAACTGTGATACTTACAACCAATACACCTTTATAGCAACTGGTGCATCACATCGTTATTCCTCATCTCTAAAATCTTAAGCATAACTTGTTTTTGCAGACATCATCAATACATTATCTGTTTGGAATTTGGATACTTGGTCCAGTTCTCAGGCACCAGGGATATGGCACTAGAAAATACAAACATAGAATTGGCATTTTCCTTTATATATGAAGGGATGAATACCCAGCAATTGTAATCTTTGATATACACAAAATCAAGCACAGGATGCAGCCTAAGCTATTTTCCAACCCTTAATTAGCTTTGTCAAGAATATGCTAGGAGAATAGAATATGATGCAGTTCAAAGCCCAAACAAGCTACACATCTTAAGACTAGCCTAGATGGTGGCTACTTGGCTACCAAAAACACTCAAACAATCTAAGTTCACTTAATGTGATTTGGTGGCGAATTAAAAATAGAATTAAAATTTAAAATCCTTAGTAATTTATTCCATTACTTTTCCAGTATCCTAAATTTTAATAATGTTAAAAATTTGCACGTAAACTTAACTAAAATACTTTCCTTAACTACAAATATAGGCATATTATTACTCTTATGGATAAATAATAGACATGAGGAAATAGAATAGATTATTATTTATTAGCTTCTATCCCTGCCTACAACTGATAAAGGTCCTCTAATATGTTGATATTTTACTAGCTTCTATGATTGCTCAACATTTTACATGCCGTTGTAGATGGAAACACTTATTATATTTGATATTTGCTTGCCTTCTGAACCATAGCAGAGCATTCTTTTCACAGATTCCAGTGTCAAGTGGCCAGATTCACAAGGAATTCTTCTTCTAATTTCAAATGTTTCAAGATGTTTCATTTGAAAATCAATTTTGGGGCAGGGGGTTGAGTATGTAGAACACATTTCATCCATTCCCCCAAAAATTGCACAGACACAGTCATAATCAAACGCATAGTTCAAGAAGCAATTATGCATGGATCAGTCACATTGGTGTAGCCGCTTGGCTAATCGGCACAGAGAACTTTGTCAATATATAACATCATTGCTAAAAAAACAAGAACATAACTGTAGAAAAGAAAGTAAGAGCATACTTTATGAGCTAATCCACTGTGAAAGAGCTTCCCTGTGACCTGAAGTTTCCAAGGTATCATACCACCAGTCCCTATGCATGGTTGTTTATCTGCCGTGTCAATCCAGTACCTGAGCAGAAACTGCACAGATTAACACTAGCAGAAATATTAAAATTGGAACTGTAATCGCTAATAACGCTTTTCAAAGAGACAAATTGAGAGCTACTTGTACATTTCTTTAATTTATTTAGACACGCATTAACGAGATAACAAAGACTTACAGTGGACCATCCTTCAGCTTATTGAGGAGTCCATCTTTGACAAGCGCATCCACACCAACACCAGTAATTGCAGAATTCTCTTCATTTGCTATAAAAACAGCAACAACAGTTGATTTCAAATTCGGCTTGGTTTCCCCGAGCTTTTTCATGAGTTCCGTGACAAGTGCCACGTGTCCCAAACAATCAGTAGTTCCACGACCCCGAAGCTTATCACCATCAATGCTCAGCGAAAACGGATCAAAATCCTGCATCAACAGCGAAATAGTTGTGTTGTAGTGATAATGTGAGATGATAAGAGGCAGAGGAATAAGAACGAATAGATGGATACCCAATCATTGGGATTGGCGGTGACGACGTCCATATGGCAACCAACGAAGGAGAGGATTTTGCCAGGAACGGTGCCGGGGTATTCGACGATGAGGTTGCCCCGGCCAGGGGAGTAGGTGACGTGGTTGAGGAGCAAGGGACCGCCGCCGGTGGTGGTGCTGAAGGGTAATAGAACGTCTAACACGTGCTTCACCACTCTGTCCTCTTGGGGAATGAGCTCCGGCGGGTTGTTCTGCACGTGCTTAGATTCCCCAATCAGCTTGGAGAGAAGAGGCACGAACGAGTCCCTCTCCAGATCCCCTAATGCTGCTGATAAGTTCTCCGCCATGGAATTTCGAAATCCTTCTTCTTCTGTTCTTCCTCTTTCAGTTTTCCTTTTCCTCTTACAGTCTGATCCTATTCCTACCGCTTAGTTACATTTCTTGATTATCCTCCTGGTTCAGTTTCGTCTCAGTACACACTTCTTTCTTGGGCTTCGGTGGCCCATCTTTAAGTCAGATTGAGCTTACAATGGGCCAGTAGAATAATAATCGATTCCAGCCCATGTATTAACATGTATTAATGTCCATGGGAGGGTATTCAGATATTATTTAAGCATTGTTGGAAAAAAAAAAAAAAAGGTTTTACTTTATCAAGTGACTATATTTCTAAAAATTAGGGTGCATTTTTTTTTAAATCATATTAAACTTTGTTTGACTGTACCGAACACTATTATCCACAGCCTTGAGTTAGAAAGTACAAAATAGATGAAGATACCTTTTAACTACTTTCTTTTTTATTTTTTTTAGTTATTAAAATTAAAACACTTTTTTTTAAAATAATTTTCAAAACTTACCAATTTTGGATGAAAAATTACTTACTAACTAATAACTTGAAATTATTTTTAAAAAATGGTTTTCCAAAATAAATAAAAATGTAGAATGATGCCTTTGATGGTGTTTGTGATTAACTCATTTCTTTTATAATGTTGTTTACTGATAATGGTACATGGGTTCATAGATAGAGATTGAGTGAACATGCATGGAAAGACACACAAAAACTGAAAATGATGAAGATGAATTGTGTAGAAATAAATAAGCAGTTATGCAAATTGAAAAAGACCAAGTGGGAATTGTCGTATTCTGAGAGGGAGGAAAAATCTGAATGTGTATGTATGCAACGTATGTATACGTCTATTTCTGTGCGGGAAGTGTCACTGTTAAGAACAGTCAATTGTTTAGAAGGAAGGAAAAAGAAAAAGAGAGAGAGACAGGGTTCCATGCAGATGCAGGTAAGGTAAGGTGAGGATAAGGGAAGGGCAATGATTATTGATTTGTGAATCACTGACTGGGTATCCGAGCCCACACCCTGACCACGACTAAACCTCAATCCCACTTCCCACACACTTCTCTTTCAACAATCCATGAGCTACAATAACCAAGCTATTTTCAGTTATTACAAAATCACCATTAACTTACTACTAATTAATAAAATGAAGAGACATTATTGTGTTTCAGATTGTATTATTTATGCATGAATGCAATTATTAACAAATGCATGCATGCATAGTGTATTATTGAGAGAATAAATGAAACCTAACCTTGACATTCTATATATGAAATGAAAGGCGCACACAAGTAGATGTGAGAAAGTAGTACTGGACACTGAATTCATGGTATATGAGATATGTGAAGATCTACACCAGAAAGAAGAGAGAGAAGAAGAAAAAGAAGAGCTAGGTAGCAGTGTCAGAATGAGCGCAATGGAATGGTGTTTGCGGGCGGTAATAAAGCAAAGGGTAGCTAGGGATGGGGTAGAATAGAATAGAAGGGAAGAGGGGGACCAATAATTAAGGAAGGACATGCACATAGAGGAGAGGAAGAGGATGAAGTAGCGATACAGAGACCATAAATATATGTGCTCCTCTTAGCTGTCTGTCCTGCACTCCTATGGTTTTCGCGGGGACCGCGACAGGGTAATGTTAATTATACAATCTGTCCTGTTCTGAAATACATCGTCGTCATCAAACTAAACCAAACACACTCTATGTATTACTCTTTACAAAAATGATATGTGGAGACCACAAATCTATTGTTACCTACTCATCCAAGGAGTGAAGACAGCAAAATAAACTTGAAGACTGTGATGACTCAAATCATGTAACACAAATACAGATCTTTGGACAGGAGTGAGAAACTAAGTTTTCACTAGATCTTAAAGCAGACATAAATCTCACATTTCACGTTAAACAATAAATAATTTTTTTCATATTTTAAAATTAATCTTATTAATTATCATATGATTAAATATTTAATGTGCTGTAAAAAAAATATAAATAACTCTAATACATTTACACATTTATCTATAAAAAAACCGATCATGTCGATTATTAAAACGAATATACAGTATGGGAATCTTAAAGAAAGCACCAATAATAAAAAAAAATTGTTTACATATCCATGATAGGATACTGAAGAAGAGCAGGTTCCTTTATTGTATTGTACAGAACATTTTTTTGTTTTATTGTGTAAATCATGAACTTATTCGTTTGCATCTAAACATTGACACAACAGGAAGCCATTTATAATTTGACTTTACTTTCTTTAATGAGGAGTAATGTGATAATCTTTATACTTGTGTTACACTCACCTAGTTCAATAATAACTTTAGCATAATCTCTTATATCCTAATTTTTAAAAGTAATGATTGATTTTAACTCAAATCCTGGTGACACAAATGGTTACCACTGATATCATGAAAAGTTTATATCAAAACATAAAATTAAAATAAAGTTTAATTTTAATTAATCTGAAAATAAATTTTATTTTATAGAGTGTATTAATATTTAAAATTTAAACTCACATTAAATTTGTTAAGATTAAATTTTAAGTGTTTTAAATTAATAAAATTAATAAGTAAAATAAATTATATATGTTTAATATATTTAGAAGTAGTCTCATGAATTCTAGAAAAAAATAACTCTTAAACATTCTTAAATGTAAGAAGAATATTGAAGACTCACATTATAAATATGCAAAGCAAATAATTTTAAATTTTAGTTTATTTTGAAAAATGTATTATTAATTCCTTGTATTGATATTTAAAATTTAAATCAAGTTTATGTTAAAATAAATTTAAGTAATGGTGTTTTAAATAAATAAGGTATTACAAATACAATAAAATATTCAACATAGGAGAACGCACTTAATGAAAAAGGCAAAAAAAAAAATGGTCTAAAGAGAAAGAGAAAGGAGATAGTCTCTTGTAACTTAATAAATAGAGGAGTGAGAAACCATAAATAAAAATACCTTGTTTAGATGAGATCTTATTAGACTTATATATAATATCAGTGAACTAAATATAAAAAAGTAAAAAAAAAAAAGAGAGAATATTAATTCAAAATGGTTTGACCGTATTAAAATTTAAAATATAGTAACTTGATTTATAACTGTATGAAGTTATAAATGTAAATTTTGTATTTTAAAATACAGTGACTGATAAAACAGCTGGATCTACGTATTTTTTACATTTTTTTATGAATTTATATATATAGGCTTAAATTTATTTAATAAGTAAATTTTTTATTCTGTATTAAAAAATAAATATATTTCAATTTAAATTATTGAAGTGTGTAGTAATAATAATTTTAATTCTATTTTGTTTTTAACATTGGATATGTAAGGTGGTATTGGTCAAATATAAAATTGGGTCTCATTGATTTTTGGATCAAATTCTAGGTGGTCTAATCGTCAAAACTACATACTAAACTATTGCTAAGCAACCAGAAAAGTTTTCCAAAATTTACGTACATGTATTCAAATTTGAAGATTATTGTTGAATAAGTTAAAATGATAAATAAAAGATTAGCAATAACTAATAACTCCTTTTTAACTAAAAAAATTGGCACCAAAAAGTCTCTAGCAGTTTTCATCCTTTACATATATATTTGTGATCTGCAATATTGTGGATATAGCAGTTGTGTGAAAATCACACGCAGTCAGTGATCCTATAAACCTAATGTGATATGGTCTAAAGTCTAATCTATTGGAAGTTGGAGGCTTCAACCAATTAAACAATCATGCACTTTATGGAAATTCTCCCTGAATGTTGTCCAAAATGTATACATATATATAACTCTGACTAAGTATATATATATATAGGAGTATCTGATATTATGAGAAGGAGTTAGTGCTGATTGTGGAAGAATTGAGGTTAGAATGGCCTGCTGGGCCATGTGGTTGTCATTATAACTGTAATAAAACGACATCATCAACCCAACAAAGATCATATGATTACTAACATAAAAGTCATTCAAGTTTTGGATATTTAGGTTGAAGTTAGGACCACATGCAGGAAGACATACATATTGAAGTATGCAACAAAACTGGAAAGCTATATAAATGTACGATTCCTGATCAAGCCTTTCTCAACAAAGATTGCACGCCAATGCTGCTGCTTGATAACTAGCAAGAACACATGCACCTGTATCACGGGGTCCCCTGTATAGTTGTAGCCCACTGACTCACATTTATTGTCCCTATATATGTATTAAGTTTGTTTTAGGAAAATGTTTGGTGGACATGCATTGGGCTATCTACATCCCTATTCAGAGACAAATAAAGGAGAGAGAAATCATACTTTAAATTTCTCAAGTAACATGAAGTGATAACAGATGCAACTCTAAT